CGGGACCTGAGCTCCCAGGCTGGCCCCTCTCTGTGGCTGCCTGGGTCAGACCCATGGCGGGACCTCCATCAGCCCAGGGGGCACTACAGAGAAAGTGCTGGTCAGAGGGCTGGACACCTGGTCAAGGTCTCCCTGCTGGCCTGGGAGGCAGCAGATACTTGGAGACATTGCCACCCCTTGGAGGAGGGCCAGGGCAGGGGGCAGCGGGGGGGAGGGCTCTCAGTGGCCCCTAGAAAGAGCAGCAGCATCAGATCACCCACTGATTTAAAAAGGAGTAGCGATACCAGGAGGGCAGGGGGAAGGTGTGGAGAGGAGGGGAGGAAGGGGGAACCAATCACAATGATCAATGCATTAACCCCCTACCCCACCCCAGGGGGATGAACAACAGAAACGTGGGTGAAGGGAGACAGCAGTCAGTGTAAGATATGAAAATAATAACAATTTATAATTTATCAAGGGGTCATGAAGGTGGGAGGGGGAAGGGAGGGAAAAAAGAGGAGCTGATACCAAGGGCTCAAATAGAAAGTAAATGTTTAGAGAATAATGATGGCAACACATGTACAAATATGCTTGATACAATTGATGTAAGAATTGTTATAAGAGTTGTAAAATCCCTCAATAAAATGATCTTAAAAAAAAAAAAGGCGGGAGCCCAGAGGGAGTGGAGCAGAGGGGCCTTTACCGGCCTTTCTCTTCCAATTCCGTAATTCCACCAACTTTTTAAAACTCTCTCGGATACAGAGGGTGCCCATCAAGCTATAGGGGATGGGGTGCTAAGGTCAGAAGGTGGGCAGTTCAAACCCTTCCAGAGGAACCTCGGAAGAAAGGCCTGGTGACCTGCTTCCCAAACCCAGCCATGGATAACCCGGGTGCAGGTCTGCTACACACACACACACACACACACACACAATCGCCAGGAGGCAGGTCCCACTCGACAACAAATAACCACCAGGGAAGCTGAGACAAGCTGGGGGTCGGGCGGGGGGCTGATGGGGACCCAGGCTAACATCTGCTCTAACCTCAGGCCCCTCTGCTGCTTGGGGAGACAGCATCCCAGAGGCTGGAAGTGCCCTGTGTTCACACAAGTGCATAGGTGGCCGGGAAGTAGGGAAGACTCTTGGAAAAGCACACCTGCTCCGGGAAGCCAGCCCCGCCGGGGAACAAGCCTTGTGCTCTGCCTGCTGGTCTGGGAGCCCTGCCCATGGGGGTTCCAGCTCCTGGTTGTAGCTCTCCAGCTCCAATCTCCTTGGGGCCCCTGGTCTCTGACCATTGCCTCCTCCCTGCCCTATAGGCCCTATCTGTTCAGACACCATTCCTAAGCCTTCCTCCCCACTGCATTACACAATGGAGGAGCCAGGGGGCCAGGTGAGCCAGGTCCACGCTCCCCCCAGCACCCCGACAGAGGCTGGGGTGGACAGTGCTTCCAGTGAGTAAGGACTGGATTAATGACTGCACGGGTGAGTGCATGAATGACAGGCCAGGGACCATGCAGCTCTCAGCTCTGCCCTAGGTGCCAGCAGCCTCCCCACCTGCAGTCAGGCCCCCCTCCCGGTGAGCTGTCCCACCCTCTGGAGCCCTGGTAGGAAGGATTCACAACCGCCCAACAGAGCACTTTCTGAATAGTTTCCCCAAATGCCTCGGCAAGGTGCCCTTCTGGGCAGCTCTAAACTTGCCCATGGACCAGACAAGGAAGTCCCAGGCCCCGCCCCCATGCCAGGATTTGATGATCCGCCTCAGCCAGGCCTTCCTCCCACGCTGCATTCCTGCCTGCCCCTGCCCCTCTGGCACAGCACGGGGACATGTCCTTGGCTGTGCCTACCCCTCTGTCCTAGGAGGTGGATGGGGACAGACACCTGATGTGGCAGGAGGGGAAGTCTCAGGTGCTGTTACTGGGAAGACACAACACACAGAGCCAGGTGGCTTAGGGTGGGGCCACCTCGAGAGATGCTCACCAAGGCTGAGTCAGGCCATGTGCCCGCACCCCGTCTTCCCGCCTCCCTTTCCTCATTCTTCTTGCTGTTCACTCCTATCCCTCATCCGTCCATCCCTCTACTCATGCACCCTCCATTCATCCTACCCACCCACCCACCCATCCATTCTTCTGTCCTTCCACCCACGCATCCTTCTTTCTCATCATGTACCCATGCACTCGCTCAGTCATTCCTTCTCCTCTCCCTCCTTTCCCTGATCTGGTATTCATCTACTCCCATCTGTCATCCCCCCATCTTTCCACTCACCCACCTACCCATCATCACCCATCAACCTATCACTCACCATCTGCCATTGACCACCCATCCATCCACTCCTCTTCCTTCCTTCCACCCATCCATCCATCCATCCATCCATCCATCCATATCTTCTATCCATCCATCCATCCATCCTTATCTTCCATCCATCCATATCTTCGATCCATCCATCCATCCATCCATCCATCCATCCATCCATCCATCCATATCTTCCTTTCATCCAACCTTATCTTCCATCCATCCAAGCATCCTTCCTTCCTTCCATCCATTCATCCATCCAGTTTTTCCTTCTACCCACCCTCCTTGACTATCCCCTATGGGCCAGCCCTGATGATCCCTGCTGGTTGCTAAAACTAGACTAATCCCTGGATGCAGGAGAAAGAGGGAGCTTTCTACTCCCGCAGGGAGTTGCAGTCTTGGAAGCCCACAGGGCCAGCTCTAGCCTGCCTTATGGGATTGCTACAGGTGGGCATTGACTGCATGGCTCGGCTTGAGTCCCTGAATGAGTGCTCAGTGAGACCCCCAGGTGACCTTGAGAGAGAAGTGAGGCTGGAGGTGAGGGGCTGGGGTGAGGGCAGAGGGCATTGGTTAGTGGCAAGGGGGTGCAGAGGGGGCTGGACTGTGAAGTCAGAGTGGGTCCAGGCAGGTTGGGGGTCAGGGCAGACCTGGGGAGGGGACGCCGCTTCTCAAATGGGATTGAACGGGGACTTTCTACAAGTCACAGGGTCCCTGGAGAATGCCCGCTGTTATACTAAAAATAACCAAATATGTCATTTGTGCTGGGTCCGATAGCATCTGCAGCTAAATTCCCGAGCATGCGAGTTAGTTCAAGTGCCAAAGGTTTAAAAGTTCGGCTCGTGTGTGGGAGGAGGGGTGGGTGTTGGCTTGAAGAACGATTCGAGGTCTCGGGTCCTGGTCTCCGGGCGGGACTGGGGTCCCCACTGTGGTTGACGGGGAAGAGCTCCCTCACCAGCAGGGGGTCTGGGGCAGGGGCAGAACAAGTGGGGTTGAAACAGAAGTGGGGTTCCGGGGCTGGACCCTGGGTTCGGAGGCCTGCTCGTGTAAGGGAGGTGTGGGCAGGAGGCTGGCCTGGTGGGACCAGGGAAGGAGGGGGCCGTGGCTGTGAGGGGAGGGGGGTTTACAAGAGGAGCATGGTAGGACCCTGGGTCCCTAGGGCAGGGGTCCTCAGTCGAGAGTGAGGGGCTGGGGCTTTGGAGAGTGGGAGAAGTTGGGGGCAGAACCTCAAAGTAGCCCAGGGTTCCTCAAAGTAGGTTCCAAGTGGAACACCAACTCAATGGCTTTCCCAGGGCGAAGGGTTCCCGGTCAAGTAAGTTTGAGAAATCCTGGCTTGTGCCCCACAGACTGAAGTCAGGTTTCCCCCGCAGAGCGCTGCGGGGCGTATCTGCCCAGGACCAGGCAGGATTAGGCTGGAGGCCAGCGGGGATGAAGAGCCGGCTGGGGCCCACATACCCAAAGGTACCCTCACTGCCACGGAGATGATGCCGGCTCACAGCGATACTCACGACGAGCTGAACCGCGCCGTGGGCTCCTGAGGCTGTGAGTCCATGGCAGTAGACAGCCATGGCTTTCCCCGCGGAGCGGCTGGTGGTTTCGAACCATAGACTTTTGTGGTTTGCAGCCCCACCTACAACCCCCGACACTGCCATGGTTCCTTCATGAAAACCAAACCCAATTCACTGCCACGGAGCCCACGCCAAACCACGGCACCCTGCAGGACAGGGCGGAGCCGGCCCTGTGGGTTTCTGAGACTGTCCCTCTTCACGGGAGGAGACAGCCATGTCGTCCTCCCACAGGGCGGCTGGTGGTTTTAAACTGCTGACCTTGCAGTTAGCGGCCCAGGTAAGCACTACTGCAATGCGGGAGGATGCGGGTGATAACCATTTTGGGGGGAGAAGAAGGGATGTGGTGAGGGGTCAGCTTTGACGTCTCTCTTCCCATGCCCACAGTGACCTCTCCTTCCGAGAATCTAAGAGAGACAGCCCAGAGCATGGCTCCCAGAAGGTGTGGTCAGGGCCAAGTCATCACCCCACACTCCCCCAGCCCCCCCCCCCAAGCACCCCAGAGACTATGAAGACAAAGGGGCAGGATGTGACCAGACCCTCCCCTGCCCGCCCGGGCAGAGCATCCATGCAGCCAACACCACTTACTTTTCTGTCGTTGAATTCCACATTGTCACCCTCGTAGTCTCCCTGCGGGAAAAGAGGAAAGGGACTTGGAACCGCCCCCGCTCGGCTGTGGCTGCCAGCTCCATCAGTTGGTTCTCACTCAGAGACCCCACCTCTGCAGCACAGAACGGGTCTGGTGGGGTATGAAGGCTGGGACCTATCTCTCAAGGAGCTACTGAGTGGATTCGAACAGCTGGCCTTGTGGCCGGTATTCAAGGGCTGAATAATTTGTGCCATGTAGGGGCTCCCCAGACTGAAAAAGCAAACACGCTGCCGGCGAATCCATCCCGACTCACAGCAGTCCTGTAGGGACCAGGTAGAGCCACCCCTGTGCATGTTTCCCAGACAGGGACCCTTTTTGGGCAGAGATGGCCTGGTCCTGCTCTGGCAGGACGGCTCATGGTTTTGAACCACGTCCAGGGTGCTTGCTGGGGGGCTGGGGGAGTGTGGGTTTAAAGCCCACTGAAGTAAGCCTCTGCCATCGATTCTGACCCCCAGGGGCCCTACAGGACAGGGTAGAACGGCCCTGCTGAGATAGTCTCTGCTCCTCCCCGAGGGAGCAGCTGGTGGTTTCCGGTTGGTTCTCCTGGAAGCCCGTGGGCTATTGACTAGGCTCCCCCCCACCCACACCGTCACTCAAAGGCATTGGTTCTTGGGCCTCATATGCTGTCCAGCTTTTGGCCTGGGTACGAAACAACAGAGAATAGACACCGTGCTTGGGCCAGGGGCAGGGGGTCTGGGGGCGTCGTGGCAACACAAGGGGTTCCACATCCTCTGCTGTCAGCAAGCCAGGTCCGCGGCATGCACATCTCAGGTTGCTGATGAGTCTTTCCGATCCTGATGCCGTGTCGTCTTTTGCCCAGCGTGCTTCTCAGCATACGGACACGGAGTCAGTGTGGTGAGAGGCCCCAACTCCGACGCACACCGTTCCAACTTTAAACCACGCAGTAGCCCCTTGGCTGTGCCCACAGCTGCCTCTTGATCCACGTGCAGGTCCCACGCACACACACGCAGTGAGGTGTTCGGGGTTCCTGTTTTGCTCGGCGATCCATAGTCTGTGACGAGCCACCCAGTCGAACAAACTCCTTGGCAAAGTCAATGAAACGCAGCCTTCTGGGGTCCTCTGCTTGCAGCCAAGACCGTCGGACACCGACAATGGTATTTGTCCCACCTGCTCCCGTGAGTCTGGCTGACGGGCCTGTCAGTCCCTGCCCTACATGGCGGCAACTGTCTTCAGCAGCTTTTTTCTTGCCTGAGATACTGGCCAATCGTTCCCGCTGTCTGCTGCGGTGCCTTTCTTTGTTAGGGGCACACGGACGGGTCGCTTCCAGTGGGCTGGCCAGGTAGCTGTCTTTCAAAAGTCTCGGCGGACTCAAGAGGAGACGAAACAGCTGCCAGCACCCAGACATCACCGAAGTGTGGAACACGGGCAAGGGATGCTTCTAAGAAAGCTGGACGCCGTCCAAGTGGACACGATGGTCTCGACAATGGCCACCCTGCGTGTCAGTAAGCACAAATGGACAGGGGCTGGCGGCGACTTTTTAGAGAAAGAAGATCATGGGTGTTGCTTCCCAAGGCATCAATTCCAACAGCCTCTTAGGATGATCGCAGATAAGCGTTAAGATAGCCGATCACGGGGCAGAACGTCCCACAGAGGGTGGCCGCCAGCCAGGCCTGCCTCCTCTCAGGAGCCACGGTGCTATAGGAACGTCAAGCCACGCCCGCCGTCAACACTCAGTTCCCAACCTCACAGAACTTCAGCAGGTGGTGCACGGTTCCTCCGGGGGAAATGCACAGAATCCCATTTTCAAATGGAGGAGAGCCTCTCTGGCGGCGACAACCTCTCTGCGTGATCGTACCTCTCGACAAGGGTCTCCTCCATCCTTCTGAAGAGGAGAAGTGGAAACCCGGAAAGCAGCGCCCGGGGCCAAGCCCTGCGTCCCATTGCGTGGATGTCCAAGGCCCAGGCTGCTCTAAAATCACCCTGGTCTGTGGCCACCGCCAAACAGTCGTTTTGTGTGGTGGCTGCTCTCCTGTCTGCTGTCAGCCTCCAGGAGGAAAAGCCAGCTTCCAGAAGGATGCTCCTTCAGGCGGAAGCTGTGCTAAAAGACCCCGAATCAACATGAGTGGGAAGCCATCCCACAAAACCCATTGGGCACCCAAATGGGGAAAAAAAGGAGAAGAAATGAATTTCTATAGTCTATGCTACAAGAGAACACATTTAAAATACAAAGGGAAAAGCACAGGGTGCCCGACACAGCCACTGCGGAGCCCCGGAGTCCCGTTTCCCAGATGGAAACCTTAAGGTTCTGGGGAGCACGCTGATTTGCTGAAATCTGACAGCTGGGTTTGGTCAGACCTGGGTCTTGGATTTAGATCGGTCGACCCTGGAATGGAAGAGAAGAGACGGGAGGGGAGGAATGTGCAAAGAAGGGGGGCTTAAGAAAGAAGAGGATGACCCCAATGGACCAACTGCTGAAAGAATGAAGGAGGGCGCTGGGGTGTGGCTGGCTGGCTGGGCCCACTCTCTTGAGGGCCACTGGACCGAGAATGGACTGGGCAGCTCAGAGTCTACCTGTTGTCTGCCCTTCCCCCCATGACCCTTCCATGAGCCCTCACCCCCCAGCACCACCCGGTTTGGAGAACTTCTGCATGCACAGGACCTCCCAACCCAGTGCTTATGTTTCTTCCACAAAGATGTAGTTTCCTCCCAAGTCTCCAGCTGAGCCGCCGAAGCCTAGCGCCTTCTGGCACTTTTCAGTGGCTCTTTGTGGCCAAGGCGGCCACATTCCCCAGGTGCCAACCAGGAAGGAAGCAGCCGAGCAGCCAACACAAACACCAATGTCTTCTTCTTCCCAAGTCTATCTGGCTGTGGGTCCACTAATTATAAGTGTGGTCCCTAGAGTCTTGCTCTAAGCGTACAACGTTGATTTATGTCCTGGGCTGCCAGGTTGTGGTCTGGTTGGCACAGCACAGACACCCCTGTTGGACGGGTGGATAGGAGGAGGGATGTCTGGCCGCGGGAGGGATAGATGAGTAGATGCAAGGATGAATGGATGCTTGGAGAGACCGATGGTAGATTATTGGATGGCGGATTGGTAATTGGATGGATGAAAAGGTGTTTGGATGGATGAAGGAAGGAACAGATGGCTAGATACTTGGATGGATGAATGGATGGAGATGACAGATGGATGGATTGGTGAATGAATGGACAGCCATTGGGATGCATGTTTGAATGGACGGGCTGTTGGATGTGTTCATGCGTAGATGGACGGACGATTGGATGGCTGGGTAGGGGAATGGGGGGAAGGCTGGATGGATGATGGATGGATAGGCTGGAGAGTTCACCAGGGGATGGAGAGATCCGTGGACGGATGGATGGACATTCGAATGCCTAGGTGGGTGGCTAATTGGATGTCGGCTGGAGAGTAGATGGATGGACGGACAAAGGAGGGTAGGTGAGTTGCCTGACGCTGTAAGACAACTTGGAGTGGGGGAGAGAGAGGACAAAACATTTAAACCAAGAGCTCGAAGTCTTGTTCACTGGCGTGAAGTGGCCGTAACTCACGGCTCCCGAGTCTTGCACTGTCCCCATGAACTGCTTGTAGATCAGATCACTGTGACCCGTAACGCGTTGCCATTCTTTGAATATTTCTCTTTCTGTTGGGTGCAGGTCTGGATGCACCGCTGGAAGGACGGCTGGATGACGGGTGGGTGGGAGGATGATGGGTGGATCCGTGAGGGAACGAGTGGATGGCGAGCTCTCGGGATGGGTGGGCAGATGTCTGCATGTGTCGGTGGAAGGACGCACACACTGAAGCACATGCCAAAGCACCCCTTTCTGCCTGTTGGCATGCTGGGCAACCACCCATTCCCTCCCTGTCTGAGGAGCCCGAGGCACACGAATAGTGGTTCCTACTGATCTGACTCCCCGCGGGAGAGTTCCCAGAAGCACCCCATGCCCCAGACAGACCGACATTCTTCACTTGTTGAGCTAAACACTTGTCTGGGGTTTGGAAGACTGCAGAGGATCTTTGGATTTCCAGCTTAAAGAGGATTTCAGGGCAGCAGGTTAGGGGGCCTGGGGCTTTCATGGGCTGATTTCCAGACGTGAATCACCAGGCTCTTTGCTATCAAGCCCCTTCACAAAGGTCCAGCCCCGCTCCCTACTGGGTTCCCACGCTGTGCAGGCCCAGAGACCCATTCCCAGCACCCTGCTGGGCTCCAGACACATTTCCACGGAGACAGCAGGAGGAGACTCATCCCTTTCCACACCCCTCATGGCAAGCACATCCCGGCTGGCCTTGACAGGACATGGCTATATTTGTCTGGGATAGAGGTGACAGTGGGATTTAGAGGCTTGCTCAGGGAGCTGGTCACTTGTGCGGCAGGAATAAACCCAGGCATAGCCCTGGCTACTGTGTCAGAACCCAAGGGAGATGGGGTGGGCCAGGGCCCGGAGCAGGGAGCAGCAGGCAGGGCTCGGATTGGGCTGGAGCAACCACTTGGCCACCCCTGTACCCTCCCACCCCCATCTTAGAGGAGAGAAATGGTGGCCATTTGTCTGCCAGCTCGGACTTGTGCCTGCTGACATTTAGGGCGAGGCCAAGCAGGAAGCAGTGGCTATGGGATCATGGCACCTCCTGGGCGTGTGCCCGCAGGGACCGAGACGTCAGGTGACACCGCTCAATGTCAAGGGCACTTACGTCGTGCAGAGGGTATGCGGCCGAGTACACGCCGTTGGCCAGCAGGCTCGTGATGCCTTGAAAACAGAGAGACAGAGGGTCACCCCCCTGGTCGTGCCCCCCACCTCCCGTGCCGGCAGCGTGGGTCCTGGAAGCCTGAAGCACGGGGGTGGGCATCTCCATGTGGTTGCTGAGGCTGGCCGCTAGGCTATGCATGGACAGCTGGTCACCATGATTGATTTGGCAGGAAGAGGAAGACACCAGGGAAAGCCCGAGAAGGCCTGACCCCGACGCGGGCACCCCCAGACCGCTGGGCCGCATCACCCCGCTGCCCCAGGACAAGCCTGCAGGAGAAGTATAGAAGTCAGGAGCTGGAGAAGCTGAACCACAGGCAAATCACAGGCAGGCCGCGGGGAGAACTGGTGGTGTTGGAGACACACATACAATTGAGCATTAGGCCGGGGTGGGGGGGAGGCCCCCACGGTCCCTGGGAGGGGCAGCGGGCCACTTACCGTATTTACCACATTTTCCTCTTTTACTTAAAAGAGCTGTGTCCTTCTTCCGCCCCTCGCCTCGCCCTGTTTGCATATTGGCTATTAGTGACAGGAAGGGCGGGGACCCAAGATGCACTTGGGGGAGACGACACTGGTGGGGGGCTGGGGGGTGGGCATCCTGGGAGAGGGACAGGATGGTGGCCAGGCCCTCTGTCCCTGACGCATTTCACAACCCTCACCCTTGTCCCACCAAAGAGGTCTGACTGGGCTCCAAGGTCTGACTGGGCTCCGAGCCCCAAACGCCAATGCCGGGAGGGCAGAAGGCACAGCAGAGGGGCACGAGGGGAAAGTCGGGGTGGGGGGGTGGGGGAGGAGGTGGTCCATGGAAATCTGATCCCACTCCTTGGGGGCTAGGTCACTGGGGTCCTCGCTATGCTCTCTGCTGGTCCCAAGCCCTCTGCCTGGTCCCACACTCTCACTGGTGTCCGGAGGCCCCGCCCTCGCTATCTCCCAAGGAGAGGGGTCAGAGATGGGCTTCCTGAAACAGAAACGGACATCCTCCGGGTCAGTGGCCTGGATTCACCCAGAAGGCGGGGGCCACTGGGAAGCAGAACAAGGAGGTGAGCGCCCACAGGCAAAGTCACATGGAAGCATGGACAGTTTGGGGAGGTACAAAAGCAGATGGGGCCACCGGTCTCCACCGAGCAGCCATGGGGCCATGAATCCTCCCTTGGCCACCCAGCTGGCTCGCAGTGGAAGTGGAGTTGCCAACAGGCCGGGAGACAGTCAGAATGGGTGCTGCCCTGTTGACCTGACCCTCTTGGGCCCCCCTCCCCCAGACCCCCTTCCCCATCCGGGTCTCCTCACTGCTCCTGGAACTGGCCCATTCCCACTCCCATGGGGGTCTCTCCCCAGGCAACGCCACATTCCTTGTTTCTCTGCTCAAATGCCTCTGGCTCCCCCTGGCCACCCACCCGTCTGACCCCGCGAGATTAAATCCACACGAAACACCAGACTCAGGGCTGCCGACTCGATGCCAACTCACAGGGCCTACAGGACAGAGCCGAGCTGCTTCTGTAAACCTAGATGGGAGCAGACGGCCTCATCCTTCTCCCTCGGACAGGATGGCGGTTTTGAACGGCTGGCCTTTCAGTTGGTTAGTTGGCAGCCCTACACATTGCTGCCACACCGCCTGAGAGATTTCACCCTGGTCACCCCTCCTAGGACTGTGGTCTCCTCTCCCAGGGCCCAGGCTCTGAGGAGTGGGCGCCTAGCACCTGGGAGAGAGCCTGGCTGCGGGCGGGCGGGCATCCGTCTATCACCTTGCTACCAGTGGAAGGAGGAAACCTGGGGATCAGTTTTCGCACTGGAACCCCACCCTGAGCTCCGTCTCCAGCCTTTGAGAGCCAGAGCCGAGAAGGGGAGTCAGCTCAGCCAGAGTCTGCAGGAGGGACCCCAAAGACACAATGTGCCCAGGGGTGTGTGTGTGGGGGGCCCTGTCCAGCCTGTCCAGCCAGCACCAGAGCTCTGGACTCGTGATAGTATTCAGGTTTCCCTGGAAGGGTCCTTCAGAGCTTGGTGGAGACACCGGGGACCAAGAAGGAAAGAAAGAGGCCACATTCTCCCAGCAAGGGGAACCCCGCGTGTCCCTGCCTCCAGCAGGTCCCGCAGGAAGCGCTTTGAAAAACATCCCTTCCTGCTGCTCCCTGGGTCCCTTTCCTTCCTGTCTGGCCTCATCACAGCTCCCGGAGCAGAGGGTGGGCGAGGCAGATGAGATAGTTCTCTCTACCCTCCCTTGACCCTGAGACAGACCCTTTATCCCTATCAGTTTGGGACTTGAACTTAGAGACATCAGGCCTGGAACCAGGGGCCCTAGGTTCAGACTATCAGCCATACAGCCATCGGGCAAGAAGTCCACCTGACCCCACAGGTTAATGCCCCCTGCATGATGGCTGGGCCCCGGGCTCTCTTCTGGACAGCCAGCCAGGGCTCTGTTTCTGAGACACACACACACACACACACACACACACACACACACACACACACACACAGAGGCTCTAGTCCTCCGAGCCCTGGCTGTGCCCCGTGAGCCAGGGCTCTTGGATCTGACACTGGCGGTCAGGGCTAGAGGACCACTGTGAGCAAGCTTGGGGCAGAAAATGGCCCCGGAAGCAGCGCAAACAGCGGAGGGGTCTTGGCAGCCCTCCCTCGGAGGCGCCCTGAGCTGTGACTGCAGCCAAGTCGGCCCACGCGGTGGGGCGGAGCCCCCGGGGCGGGTGGGTGACGGGCTCTCTCTGGAGAGAACCATAAATGGGAAGCTCTTGTATCGGGTGCTCAAAGAGGCCCGCTGGGGTGGGGGCTTGGTGTCGGACTCTGGAGTCAGAGGCTCATCCCTGGCAGAGCCTGGGTGACGGTGTAGGTGGGGCCTCACGGACCCCGGAGGTAGGGAGCCAGAGGTAGGTGTGGCTATCTCTCTTGCACCGTCCAGTCGATGCCGACTCATGGCGACCCTACAGGACAGTGTAGGACTGCCCCCGTGAGTTTCCGAGACTGTCACTTTACTGGAGTAGAATGCCTCGTCTTTCTCCTGGGGAGCGGCTGGTGGTTTCGAACTGCTGACCTTGTGCCACATGTAATCACTACGTCACCAGGGATACCTCAAGTCTGGTCATAGCTTCTAAATCGCCTCCATATGCCACATGGGTCCCTGGCAGAGCCCTAACTTCTGTTGGTCTGTGGGCGATGAGAGAGGGCTCGCGCTCCTTGGTCACAGCTATCTGCCCACCCCCGGGGAGAAGACCCCGGCCCTGGGCAGTTGCTCAGGTCAGCATATGAATGGTCTGTGCACTTCAGGGTGGATCCTGGGGGTCGGCTGCATGTCCTTACCCATGCTGTACTTGGCCTTGGTGCACGTGGTCCTCTTCAAGATTTCGTAGACCTGGGCAGAGGCAGACCAGAGAGGGAGGGCACTGAACCTCACACTCCCAGTGAGGGTAGCTGCCCCCCAGCTTCCCACAGACACAGGATTCCTGAGCACTCGGGGGCGGGGCATTCGGAGGTAGGAATGCCTGGGAGGTTGGGTGTACGTGGCTAAGTGCCGGGCTGCTCTGTGGAAGGTGGGCGGTTCGAGTCCCCCCAGAGGCCCCTCGGAAGACAGGCCTGACCTCGGGCCTTGAAACGTCAGCCCCTGGCTCATGTAGGCTGCCGTGCATGGGCCGACTCAGGGGCAGCTGTTTTGTTTCTTTGTTTGCTTGTATGCTTGGGTGGCAGACATACATGCGACCTAATCCCCTTTGCCAAGGCCACGTTTTCCACAGGGACAATGGCACGGTTTCAGTTTCATTCATCACATTGTGCAAACCAGGCCGCTGCGCGGTGACTGTAAGTGTAACGCACCTGGAAGCATCTCATCTTTTACCTTCAAATAAACCCGAGACTCACTACCATCTGAAAAGTCAGCGATCGGGCAGGGTTGAACCGCCCCTGTGGGTTTCTGAGGCTGTAACGCTCTACAGAAGCAGACAGCCTCACCTGCCTCCTGCTGAGCAGCTGGTGGGTTTGAACTGCTGGCCTTGGGGTGAGCAGCCTAAGGTGTAACCCACTACGAAACAGAGACAAACAAATCTACTGCCAGCAAGTAGATTCTGATTCTCAGTGACCCTCTAGGGCAGGGAAGACCTGCCCCTGTGGCCTTCTGAGACGATGTGTATGGAAGTCCCATCTTTCTCCCCCAGAGCAGCTGGTGGTTTTGAACTGCCGACCTTGCAGTTAGCAGCCTAATATGTAACCACTACGGCACCAGTGCTGGAGCCCACTATGCTCTGTTATAATAATAATAATAAATAATAATAATAAACAAACCCAAACAAATAAACACATATACTTGCAGCCCAATGCCATCAAGTCAATTTTCCAATTCATAAGCAACCCTACAGGTCAGAGCAGAACCGCCCCCATGGGTTTCTAAGGCTGTCAATCCTTATAGGAGCAGACAGCCTCGCCGACTTCCTGCAGAGCAGCTGGTGGGTTCAAACTGCTAACCTCAGGGCTAGCAGCCCAAGGCGTAACTAATTGCTCTCAGCACTAATTCAATATGCCCCTGCACCCCAAACACAAAGAAACCTGCTGCTGTCCATTCCGACTGGTAGCAACCCTGCGGGACAGGGTAGAACTGGCCACAGGATTTCTGAAGCTGTCTGCCTTTAAGGATCCGACAACCACCTCTTTCTTCTCTGATGTGGGTTCAGATGACCAGCGTTTCTGGCTGGATACTGATCACTGCACCACCAGCCATGGCCCCCTCGCCCCATGCCAGGCCTATCTTCCACAGAGCTGCCAGTGGTCTCAGACCTCCAACGCTCGCTCCAGTAGCCGACCACACACTGATTGGCCACCTGGGCTCAAGAGAACTGACAGGGGGGCTGGTGGGTTATTGATCCATGTGTGATGAATCAGAAACGGGTGATGTTAGTGACAAATATCTCAACAGTGCTTCCTCTGTGCCTCTCTTTCAGGGAGCAAGGACCACCCCAGTCTTGACAAAGGCTCAGGGACTCTTCAAGACCACAGAGCTAGGAGGGCCTGGCCAAGAGCTTGCCCCTGGCAGCTGGCTGGTCAGCATGAGCGTGGGGTTCTGAGCCAGGACAAGCTGGCAGCTGGGACACACCCTGAGCTGGGCCCTTGGGCAAGCAGGGCAGCCTGGGGGATTGAAACTCAATGCATTTGTCAGGCACAGTCCTGGGACCCGATGCCTTGGCTGGCTGCGCAGACCACCGAGGGGACAAGTCGAAGCCCAGCCACACTGACTTCTCAGGGGTGTCTGGCTGTATTCCCTCTCAGGGAGGTGTGCCTGTGCCTCTGGCAGCCGCTGCCGAGGGGCTGGGGCCAGCGGGGCAGTAGCACAATTCCCAGCCGGAGGAAAACAAAGGCTGGGTCACGCTCGCTGTATGAGGACAGATGGAGCCAGACACACTCGACAACACGGATAGAGGGAGCCTCTCACATGTTACCACACGGACCAACGCTGCCCTGACACTTGCATGGGGTCCTGACCCACTCAACAACATGGATGGGTCATGCCCCAGCACATGCTATAGCCTACATGGAGCCTGACACACGCTACAACATACACAGATGGAGTCTGATGCAGCACCACATGGGTAGATGGAGACCCGACACACGCTACAACTCACATAATGGGGCCCTGACACATGCCACAACACGGGTGGGAGGAACCCCCCCACATGGATGGAGTCTGACACACACTACAACATGGGTGGGAGGACGCTGCCAGCCAGATGGACTTCATGGACACTGCGGAGGGGAAGAAGCCAGATCCAAGATCTGCCCCCACCTCTCTGAGCAGGCCAGGGCAGAGAGACTCAGCTCTGAGAGGCAGCGGTGACTGGGAGGGGCTATGGGGTCCTGCTGAGGAGGCCCTGGGTCCCCGGGAAAGGCAGCACCATGAGATGACCACCCATGTCCCCCATCTTCGGTGGAAAAGGAGCTTTTCAAGACAACGGGGAGGGAGAGGGAGAGGCATCAAGGACAGTGAGAGGACACAGTTCCCATGGCCCCAGGCACTCGGCATCCCCACCCCATCCCTCCGCTGAGCCCGCCCTGGCCCTCAGGTCCCCCAGGGCCCTGCCAACCCACACAGTCCCATTATCCTAATTATTTCTGTCTCAGGCAATTAGAGCCACCTCCTGCCCGGAGGAACCTCACCTAAATGAAATTATCACCCGGTCCCTAGGGCACCTTGCTGGGGAGCGATCCCTCCCTCCCTCCTTCCCTCCCTCCCTCGCTCCACAGCCCCCAACACTCACTATGGTGCTCCGGGTCTTGCTGTCGAAGAAGGAGTCCTTATCAGACAGGTCGAATCTGTTGGGATGTTGAGAAGACAAGGGACAGTGAGAACCAGGTCCTCGGACCATCCTCCAGCCCAAGGGCCTAGCAAGTCCCTCTGCCCTGGGAGGGGTGCCCAGGGTGCCTGTGACAGCCCATCCTATTGCCTCCTGCCCACCCCAAGGCCCAGGCACCTACGCTGGGGGAGTGACCTGGAGCCAAACTTGGCCAGCCTCTCATCCCCGGGAGGCCCCTGCTCCCGTGGGTGACACCCCATGGGTGACACCCTCCACGGGTGGTTCTGGCTCCAGAAACAATCTCTTGGTGACTTTACCATGATGGCTTGGGGTGCACAGAGGGCTCCCAGGTGTCGTCCTAGGGCCAGAGGGACCACCCCTTAAGGTGGTCAGCCACTCATACCCCAAGGGGGTTCAGGGCTGTGGGCTGCCTGCCTTCAGGGGGTCCCTGGAGCTGGGGGTCGGCAGCCCAGAGTGGAGTGTTATCTGCTGAAGTAGATGTTGGCCAGGACACACCAGGGAGGCTGACCGTGGAGTCACCCAGCCTGGCTCCCTCTTAATGCCCCAGAACCCCGTCCCCCCAAACCCCCCACCACTCCAGCAGCTGGGGGGAGCCCAGGGGAGGGGCCAGCTCCCTTTCCTCAGGTAGTGAGGATCTCAGTGCTCCTGGAAGCGGGCTGCACTATGGGGTTAAATGTCTCTCCTAATGCATTTCTCCACCAAAAACTTTCCCCCAGCCCCCCCAGCTCCGGTTGCACCTCAAGTCTTTAACCCTGTTTCTCCCACTGGGACCCTGTCCCCAGAGCCAGAGGACTCAGAAGTCCTCTGCTTCTGCCCGGGCAGGAGTTCTGCCCAGCAAGCCCCAGGGAGGCCTCGCTGCTGCTGCTGCTGCTGCTGCTGCTGACCTGGTGGCTGTGCCCCACTGCCCCTTGGGAGCTGGGAGGAGGAAGGTGCCAGAAGGGGCAAGGCCCTGCCAGGCAACCCCTCCTGGCTGTCCTCCCTGGGGCCCCAGGCCTCCCCTGGGGGCTTCCCAGCAGTTCCCGCTCCCCCGCCCACCCCGGCCGCTTCAGGCTGCCTGTGTACCTGCAGAGAAGCCAGCCAGAGGCCCCGACCACAATGGGGAGGGGGACGGGCTACTGACTTGGGGATACTCTGCTTCAAACAAGACTCGCCACCTGTCCTCACTCTCCCCCACAAGTGTCTAGTGGTGCACAGTGCTTAGGCGTTGACCAAAACCGAGTGGTGTTGAGTGCCCCCAGGGGTGCCGCAGAGGAAAGGCCTGGTGATCCACGTCTACAATCCAGCCACCGCCAGAATCACAGCACAGCTCTGTTCTCCTCGGACATCGCCGGGCATGGGCTAGGGGCCACCACCCCTCCCTGAACACCCTCAGAAGGAAAGAATCCTGGCCTCTCTGGGGCCTGGTATTGGCTCAGTGCTCCCGAAAACACCCCCGAGGGGCTGACACTCCCTCTCCTCCCGCAGCCTGCACTCCTGACAGGGGCAGTAGCCCCGCCCCCCACCCCCATGCCACTCACAGGTGCTGCTTCTCCCGAGAGAAGGGGTAGGAGAGCTTCTTGGTGGCTTGGGGCCGGTGCTCGGCCACGCGGGGCTGGATGGGGTCTGTGATCTTCTGGAGCACCGAGTTGATCTTCTTTAAGAGGCCGCGGGTCTCGTTGATGTGGTACATCTGCAGGGGGACACGGCACCGTGCTGAGCCCAGGCACCCTCAGGTGTCCTGTCCCTCGGAAGGCCCTGTCCTGGGGACAGAGCTGGCACAGTCCAGACAAACTCTCCCTCTCAGGATTCCTGACCAACCCTGAGCGCCAAGCCAGGGGAGCGAGTCAGGAAACACTGTGCCCCCAAACTTCGCTTTCGTTCCCAAAGCTGTGCCCCAGCGTGGTCTCAGTGGACTTGAGAAGGGGCAGCCGCACTTGTCTGGAGTGGCTTCGTCCCCCTTGCTGTCCTTGTCACCCGGAGAAGGGAGCACAGGGACACGGGACTCAGATGTTTTCAGAAGAGAGAGAGAGAGAGAGAGAAAATCTCCCAAGACAGGGCATTTTCAGGGCAGGATTCCGGACAGGAGTGGGTGGATGTAGGACAAGACACATCTGTCTGAGCCCCCAGGAGGGCACCACACAGGCAAGTGTGAGCTGTGGGCTAGGATTAGCAACAATGTATCCCTTGAGGTCCAGCCATTGAAACAAGTGAAATCAGGAATGCGGCTTTGTGTGAATTACAAGAACCCCCTGGGTGGGCTGGGTGGGCTGGGTGGGCGGCGGGGTGGGGGACTCTGCTCATGGGCCACAGCCTTTCTGTAAACCTGTCATTTGCTTGAAAGGAAAAAAAAATGTCTATGAAAACCCTCTCTGGACGGGGAAGAGAGGAAGGAAAGTCCCAGCAATTCTGAAAATGTAATTAAAATAAATCTGATAGATTAGCAGAGACACCGCAGTGTATAAAACTGGAGCCTGGTGTTTAATTGTGTTGGTGTTTATAATAAATTTCTGGGCTGAGGCAGGCTCTTCTGTTCTTGCCCTTTCTCTGCAGGGCACGGTCAGGGGTCTGTGTAGACCTCCCGGGCTGGGTGGTCTTCTTCATAGCAAAGCCCAGAGATTTGTGCGTCCCGAAGCCCAGCTGATGTGCCACCGGCCAGAGCCCCTCTTTCTGAGCCGGACCATCGCCCACCTACCTTTTTGGTAGGCATCTTGAGCTTCAAGAACTCGGCTTCTCGGCACAGGACGTGCCATGGAGCGTGGATTTTGACGAACCCGACCCCGTGGATTTTGGTCTGCAGAGAACAAGAGCCGTGGTGAGTCGAGAGGGCAGCGCTGCCCACGCCGCTGACACCAGGTTATGCAGACGCCGTGGCAAACTCTTCGTGAGCTGTGACTTCCAGAGTGTTTTTCTTTTTCTTTCTTTCTTTTTCTAAATACTTTTACTGGGGGCTCTTACATCTCTTATCACAATCCATTCATTCCTCCAATGTGTCAAGCACATTTGCACCTAGGCCGCCATCAACATTTTCAAAGCATTCTCTTCCCACTTGCGCCCCTGATATCAGCCCCCCATTTCCTCCCCCTTGAGGACTAAGATGCCCGAGCCCAACTCAAGCCACGGGCTTTGATTGTCATCTCTCCAAAGTTTATCTCAAGACCATGGCTGAGATGACACACATGACAACAGGCACCCACCCACCCTCTCCCGCACATGCCTGTCAGGGGCGCGCGTACAGCATCCTGGAGTTGTGCACCAGCCTCACCTCCTCCCTGGGGTTGCACCTTTTGTGTGGACACACTCACTGCCCCCCAAGACTCTCACCTCCTCTTCGGGGTTGCTACAACCACCCGGATCCTGCACAGAGAGTTCCTATGGGGACATCAGGCTCAGGGTGCACCTTTTCTGCTCACTAGTTTAACTAAATTCTTGTTTCCCAGGATGAACTTCAGGAAGTATCTACGGTTTAAACTTTAAAGGTTTATCCCAAGGGAATCGTTCGGGGGGGGGGGGGCAGGGGGGCTCTGTTTCTCATGGAGTCCATGGGAATTTAAAAATCTAGTTTGCATTTCTCTACACATGCTGGTGGCCTGGCTCCAATAGAATCTTCCCTCACAAAGCCCAGACGGGGTAGCCAGCACCATCCGTGCGGGAGGAGCGGGAGGGAGACTTAGGGGCTGGTGGAGAAAGCCGGCTAGGTCTCAGACAACTGGTAGGACACGCACGCCTCTCAGAGAGGCAGTGCCGACAGAAGGCTCCTTAGAAATCTGGGTGGCGAGGCTTTGGCCCGATGACATTGGCCGCATTATCAGGGATGACCCATCCATTGCTGGAAAAGGGGCTTTTGACCAGGCAGAGGGTCCGCAGAAACAGGGGGAGTCTCACTGGGATGGGTGGACACAGCAGCCGCGGACTCCCACACCCCGAGGGTCATGTCTGCACAGAGCCATTTCGTCCAACCGAGCAAACTGTTGCTTCGAACCAGCGTGGTCATCAGCCTGCCGCCATGTGGGCAGCCCCGTGTCACACAGGCCCCCTGACCACGCTCTGTGGCTCGAGCCCTTGCCAAGCAGACGACAGAGCAGGGCTCAGGGGGGCTTCAGGGGGTGGCCCCATGTCACACAGGAACACTGAAGGGCCAGGAGGGTCTGGCAGATGGCGGGGACGGGAACCAAGGGGACAAAGATGCCAGCCCCCTGGGGGGGTTGTAGTTAAGGTCGCCCACAGTCACCCAGGTAGCACAGGGCACCTCTCACACCAAGCCTGTGCCTCTTGCCATGGCCTGGTGTGCTTAGAGCAGGACCCCAGGCAGGGACAAAGAGGGAGGCCCTGAAACGGTCCTCCTCCTGCAGAGCTAGGGCCAGACCACGGGGTGCCCCAAGCCTGCTCCCCGCATCCCTCCATCTGCAGAGTCTTTATTTACCCTAATGCTGAGGAGAACCTGGGGCAGGGCATTGAGGGCAGGTCTGAGTTCAAGTCTCCCCGGGCCAGCTGTGAGCCCTGTGGGCTCGCCTCTCTCTGGTTCAGCACATCTGAGTGGCAGCACTGGGCCGGCTATTCCGTGCTGGCCTGGCCCTGGGGGCCCGGTGAGAACAACCTCCGTCAGCTCCAGGTGTGGCTCCTTCAGGTGTGGCTCTGACGCCGTGGCCTGGGGCTGGAGCACACAGACTTGGCCTTGGGCGTCCTCTGTGACTGACACATTCCAGGCAACCTGAACTCAGAGCCAGGAGCAGGAGCAGGTGGGTGGGTAGGTAGGTAGTGATGGAGGGGTGGGGGGGTCACGTCACTTGAAGGGCTTGGCAACCAGATCAGAAGTCTGGGCAGCCCCTGTGTGGCCTCCAGCGAGCAGCACACCCTCTATAATCCCCGTTTCCTCACCTGCAAGCTTGGGCGATACCAGGCCTGCTCCCAGGGATGAGGGGTGGGGTGGGACTCTCTGGGCTCCGGTAGAGGTTGCTGCCGAAAAGGCTGTGCTTCTGCTCTGGGTCACGGGCCATGGGGACGACAGAGGCTGAGGTCACCTGTGAGACCTCATAGATCCTCTTGGCAGCGGGGGCCTGGGACACACACCCTGCCCCTTCCCGGCTCTGTGACTCACCCTGAATCCCAGAGGTGACATGTGTCTGAGAGCCTGAGTCCCCGAGTCAGAGCTGGGTTACCTCTGTGCACACTCAGCCATGGCCCCGCCCTGGGAACGCAGCATATGGAGTCTCTTCCAGAAAAGGGGCTGTGGGGCCACCTCTGTACCCACACATAACCCCCAAACCAAGCCCACTGCCATGGAGTCTGTGCTGACCCAAAGCGGCCCTGCTCAGGATTTTTGAGGTATGAATCTTGATGAGCTCCATCACTTTCCCTCAGAGAGGCTGGTGGGCTTGAACCTGGGTCCTTGGGGCTCGTGGTCCAAAGCACACCCAACCAGGTGCCACCAGGCTCCTTCCAAATGCATGAAACCCCAGCCCCTGCTGACTGCCATCGACTCTGCTCTGACGCACAGCGTTTCTGAGCCGCAGCCTCACTTTGCTCCCGTGGGACCTCTGGCAGGTTTGAACTGACGATCTTGTGGTTAATAGCTCAATGCTAACCACCAAGCCACCAGAGCACTTTGAAAATGTTTCACTACCATCACATATATGGGGTGCTTTCAAATGGGGGGCCCTACCCAACAGGAGTCCAACTCAGTGGAGGGCGGCAGGGAGGAGGGGGCCAGGTCCCCTAGCCAAATGCCTCGAAGGTATGAGCTTCCCCACCTTTGTGGGGGTGGTTCTGGGCAGGGCCATAGTGTGGCCCTGAGGCCGTGGCCTGGGCTGGAAGCTTTTGGAAAGGACAGTGCTGGGCATCCTAAGAAGTCCCCAATGAGAGAGGGAGAGAGGGGTGGGCTGAAGGTCTCAGAGAAGAAACATGGGATGTACCCACCCCCCAAAGCAGGAATTGGACATGGTTCAGCCCTAACTCTGAGCCCACCTTGCCAGACCTTGATGCCCCCCTCACGAGAACTCTGATCCCCCACATCTGCATGTGGCACTGGCCTTTCCAAAGGGAGAAGAGATGCAGAAGACAGGCCCCCCACTGGACGTACAGTGTCCAGGATGTCACTTTCAGAGCTGCCCCTGACCCCAGGGTGGCCCAACAGCTGCCCAGGTGCTAAGGGCGCCGGGAGAGAGGACCGAGGTGAGGCTACCCACGTATCCCCTAACACCTCATGGGATTATTGGGTTCCTCGGTTTGGAGGATCAGGGACATGGTTTCATGGGGCACCCAGGTAATTGGCCTAATATATACACGTAGAGCCTCTGCCCCACCTCCTCCTGCTGGTGCCACACCTGGAGTCTGAAAAGCTGACGAGTGGCCACCCAAGCCCAGCAGTTGGTCTCTATTTGCTGAAAGCAACTGAGGAAGAAGGAGAGTCAGGAGAGGAGGAGGTCATGGCACCTGCAACCCAGCGCCTTCTCTGCCAGGAGACCAGAGGGCTTGGATGGTGCCCGGCTGCCACTCCTGACACCTGGAGCAGATCCCCGAGCAGAACCTCCCACGAGGTGGAAAATGTGGGAGAAGGGCTTTTACTCATCATGGGACTCAAACCTCCTGTAGCCACATGGACTGGACGAACCCCTGAAATGACTGCCCCGAGCCCATCTTTAAGCCTTCCATCAAAAACATCCCTCCAGAGTCATGTTAACACCAAACTGCCAGACACCCTGTCAAGTCATTTCCGCCCCATAGAGGGTTCCTGGTGCTTTATGAAAGAGTCTGTGTGGTGCAGCTTGTGTGTTGGGTTGAGACCTCAGGCTGGCTGTTCAAACCCACCAACAGCTCCAAGGGAGAGGAAGAGGCTGTCTGCTCCGGCAAAGATTTACCTCCTGGGAACCTCTCAGGGCTTCTCTGCATTGGAATCGACTCGAGGGCAGTGGGACTTTTGGACACTGTGTGAATCTTCACAGAAGCAGACAGCCTCATCTTCCTCCCTCAAGGAGGCTGGCGGGTTTAAACCGCCGACCTTACGGGCAGCAGTCCGGCACTTAACCCAACAGAACAACGGCTTAGATGAACCACCACAGAAAGCCCGCCTCAGGCACCTCGGTGCTTATGAAACTGTCCACATGGGATCAGACGGACAATGGCAACTCGAGAGGTCCGATGGGCAACTCGGCAGGCAGTGACTCGCATGTCCGCGGAGAAGAATGACACAGAGGAGGGCAAGCACCCACGGTACAACCCATACAATGTGGCGCCCACAAGGAGGTTCCAAGGCAGAGCACCCTGATCTACAACACACCGAACCCCACCTAGTCCTCTGCCATGCTCACAGCGGCTCTCACGTCTGAGCACGAGGCTGTAGCCGCCATGTCCACACCCATCTTGCTGCTGGCTTCCCACCCCCCTTTCACTGTCCCTCCACACCGCCAAGCGGGATGATCCAGCAACTTGGACGTGCACATGCCATCCCGGGGTGCCCCCTGCACCCTTCGTACCAATGAGGGCGTGAAATCAGCTGCGTTAGGGGCATGAAGGGTGACTGTTCACAGCTGCATTACGAACGCGCCCCAGTGGTGCGTGTGCAAACTGCTGCTGAATGCGTGCATGTGCTGCTGTGAGCGTGCTCGTGGAAAACAACCAATAAGTACATAAGGACTTAGAAAAAAAGGAGATGGCTGTGGGATTGGGGCTCAGGGAAACCATCCTGAGAGAGTCTGCCCCTCTCCACATCATGCTGTTGTTGGGGGCCACCAAGGTGACCCCCCTGAGCAGCAGACGGAAACAGGACCTGGGTGATCCTGCACCATCCCGATCATG